TTATCCTATGCTAGGGACCTGTTCTCTGTATCCTTGCTCTCCTGTCTAATTATCTCCACTTCCATTTTTGAGCCCTGGTTGAGCTCTTGACATTCTGTCCTTCCTAGCTCCCAGCCCCTACATCCTTGACTTCCGAGCTCCTTCATTCATGAGCAGCTCCTACTGGCTATGCTTCCCTTCATGAAGCTGCCAGACTACATCTCAGAGTTCTCCAGAACAGAGTAGCAGGAAGTAATCGTATGGGGAGTGACACTCACTCCTGATCCACAGCAGGATGCAGTGTGTGAGGCTACAGCAAAATGTCAGGGTATTTGCCACCGGGAGGACAGTGACAGTGCAAGGAGTGTTTCTGGCAAACAGTGGATGCTAGCAGATGAAAAGACTTTAAGAAAGTTCTTCCTAGAACTCTATCCCTATGTCCCTTATCTTGAAGAAATAAACAGGTTCATGCAAAGTGTGAGTGAAAGGGCAACTCAAAGGAAAAAGAATGAGCTGTTCTCTACTCCAATGTCTGTGATTTAAGTCACAGACAATAACAAGAGTGAATACATTTCCAAAGAACTTGGAGGTAGTTTGTCCTTGGAGCTGGTACACTGCATAGTACAAAGTTATAAGCTAACATACAGGTGCCTTCTCTGTCTCTGCACTTCCTGCTTTGTTACCAGCTAAATTTGCGCTAAATTTGATTACCCTAAACAAGTCAGTTTCCAAAAGACAAATTCTGTATGTCCTCTCTGATACATGACAACTAATATGTAGAGCACACATAAAAAACTATGAATTCGGGCACAGCGCAGTGGCGCAGTGGTTAAGGTCCTCGCCTTGCACGCCTGGGATCCCATATGGGCGCCAGTTCTATCCCGGCAGCCCCGCTTCCCTTCCAGCTCCCTGCCTGTGGCCCGGGAAAGCAGTAGAGGTCAGCCCAAGGCTTTGGGACCCTGCACCCGCGTGGGAGACCCAGAAGAGGCTCCTGGCTTTGGATTGGCATAGTATCGGCCATTGTGCTCACTTGGGGAGTGAATCATTAGATGGAAGATCTTCCTCTCTGTCTCTCCTCTCTGTATATCTGCCTTTCCAATAAAAAATAATAATAAAAATAAATCTTAAAAAAAAAACTATGAATTCTACAAGTAGCATATTTAGAAATAATGCTGAATGCAGCATGAGTCTTTACTCCTAAATAACATCATGATTCCCATTATTTTTTTGTTTTGTTTTACTTCTTTTATTATTATTATTTTATGATACAGTTCCATAGGCCCAGATTTCCCTTCTGTTCCTTTATTTTCTTCCTTTTCTTATACTTGCCATGCCATGATACTGTTATATAGCAGAAAGTTAAGCTTGTAATGGTGGAAATAATGACTGTGCCATTGTAGTAACCTGGGGACAATAATGAGAGAGAGATATAGGGAAGGAGGGCAGAGAGCTGATCCCCTATTCATATAAATCTGTATCATGGGGGAAAAGTAAGTAAATCTTTTTACAAAGTAAAGTTTTAAAATTAATAGATAAATAAATGAATAAATTTGGCTCCGCTACTGGGCAATGGAGCCAGAGGGTTGAGCAGAAGTCTCAGTGTCCAAAAGACACAGAGAAAGCTGGTTTCCTGCTGTTCATTCTTAGAAGGAAGCAACATGTTTTCCCAGAAGCTCACAGCAAGCCTCCCAGTGGCTGGAGCTCAGTCAGCTACCTTTTCCAAAATCTGTCACCATCTGGGACAGAGAAACAGATCCCCATACCAATATGGAGCTCCTCCCGTGGAGACCGGCCCTGCCCAGGGGACCAGTCCTCGTCAGTGTCCAGAGGAACCTGCCTGGGAGTCAATCACTCTCACCGCCCCCAGAGCTAAAGATTAAACCGTGCAACTGAAGTTGACTTGAATATAAAGAGATTTGCAAACACAAATGTAAGGGCTCTTTGGGAGCCCATGCCTTTGGGTACTTTTGACGAGATAAAAACTGATTTTTTTTCAAAAACTACACAACGAAGACTATGAAGTGATAAGCCCTCTGGTAGAATCGAGGCCTCCTTCGAATTCCCAAAGAAGTCACAGGGCATCACCAAGGGCCTGGGGAGGCTCAGGGAGGAGGAAGAGGAGCAGCACCTCATGCTGGATGGCAAGGTGGGCCAAGTCTGCATGCAACTTCCCTGTGACCCAGATGGCTGGGACAGCTGGATTTACACAACTTTGGACTTAGAGGAGATATTCCCAAGGAATGGATTTCCGATGGCTTCATTTTGGAGATGCCATAGCTTTTGGACAAATCAGATACAATTGTTGTTTGCTGTACATTTCTAAGAAAATATTCACTGCTGAACGCTGCCTACCTTTTTCCAAACCCCAACATCAAACCCCATGTGGCCATCCTTTGCTGCAGAATCAGTCACTTTTTTTTCTTCCCTCAGTTGCCAGGCCATCCTTGGTCACAGACAATGTTAAAGTTGCTGTCCCTGCCAGTGCCCTCCCGCTATTTACTGCCAAAGCAATTAGGTCAACCTCATCTCCAACTAGGGGGTCTTGGAGGAAGAACACCCTTGGGGATATGTCACATGCCTCATCGTTTTAAATAATAAGGAAGACAATGGACTACATTTCCAAGTTCCCCAGGAGAAGGATCTCACAGCGCAGCACATGCAGATATAACGCTCCCTCCTGGACATTAGTAGCGAAGAGCGTGTGGTTAGGGACTCTCCCAGAGTCTGCCCTGACAGGTCCCCTGCTTAGTCCCTGCCGGTCTTCTGACCTGACCTCACAGGGCTTCCAGATGCAGGAACACACACACACACAAGGGCTCATGTTCCTGCACCGAAGGTGGGAAGGCTCCCTTTCCTGCTTTCCTCAACACTTCCCAAAGATGCTTGAGGTTTCCAAGAGAGTATGTGGAGCACGCACTGGCCAGGAGGAACAAGAAAGAGTTCCCGAGAGCTGCCCAGACACCCACTCCTCTGCTTTCCACCAGAACAACTGTGCTGCCTATGGGTTTGGGGAAGACCTGGTGTTTTTCCTAAATGGCACCAATGCTCTATTCGCTTTCTCCCACAAAACACATGGTAGTCCTTTCCAATTACACCTATGTCCCTGCCCTAGTAGGGAAGCCCACCACAAGTTCCCAGACAATCCAGAGACATTTCCACAGTCCCCACTCAGGGCCACAAGTGCTTAGGTCTACTGTACCTGTGTGGCTAATCCTCGGGGTGAGGGTCCTTGGCTCTGTGAAAGACGTGCCCTGCCTCAGTGGGCCTCATGGGATATCAAGCCCTCATCTGGCCTGTCTGTGCTATCAACTGGGCCAGAGGCGCCCCATGCCAGCAGCTGGCCAGTTTTCCAGAAATGTTTCCCACGTGCCCAGTGTCATGAAGAATTAGTCACAAGCAGAAAAAAGAGGGGAAAAAAAAATCTGTCCTCTTGCCAAGAGCAAGCTGGTTGCTTGCGGAGGAGAGGGGAGGGGAGGACACGCACAGTGCTGGTCTCTTCAGATCTGGATGGATGAGTCACTACCTCTGACTTCCAGTACCGGAATCCGACATGACTCATCCTCCAATACAAACTTATACTCCTGCTTCGCAACGTTTGAAAGACAGCGTCTTAGGAACAGGTGTTATCTGCCAAAGGCACTTGTGGTGGACCCACACACAGGCACCCCTTGCCACATAACACTGACACACAAGGAAAGTGAAATTTGCAGTCAGACACGTGCAAACCATGGGTGTTCCCGGTAGCGGGGAGTCCTGCCAGGTGTCCCTGCTGAGAAGGGAGGTAAGGAGAGGGAGGTCCCCTTATTCGGTGACACTTTTACCTGTGCCCTGGTCTCCAGGACAGCCTGACGGCACAGGACCACAGTAGGGTTCGCAGTGGTTGTTGGCATCCCATCCCAAGGAGATGAATGGAATTCCAGGCTGCTGGAGTCATGCTGACTTGGGACAGTGGCCTGGAGACCAGACCACGTCAGTGACAGAGGCATCAGACCACGGGCCCCACGGCAATGTGTGTACCCATGCCTTGGTTTCAGGAGCTGAAAAATAAAATGAAAGCAATGTTTAGGGAAGAAAAAGGGAAATAAAATAATAGGCAGAGAGTAACTTATTACTCCATGGGTCTGTTCTGTAAATAGTTTGGGACCCTGAAGCCAGATGGTTCTGCAAACTCTCCAACCAGCAGTCACGTTAAGGAGCATGAGTGGGCACAAAGACTGTTTTTCAAGACACGATTTCAAATTTGGCTTGAGGGAGCCAGAGAAGAGTTCCTTTGCTTCAAATTTCCACCACTAGCAAAGCAAGTGGTCCTCACAGGTCACAGCGATCAGAATACGCATACCGCCCCCAAGCGGCCATTCGGGGAAGCGCGGCAGTAGCCGCCAGGAGCGAGCGTCCAGGAGACTGGCCGCAGGCTGAGCCCTCTGCAGGTCAGGCTCGGGGCGAGGGCACTGAGGACATGGGCTCTCTCGCCCGGCGGGCTGCACAAAAGCCAGCCAGCCAGCCAGCACCCCCAGGACGTGAGGGGGCATTGCTTCACTGGCTGGTTCTACCGGGGTCCCCTGTGTGCCCATCAGATCCACTGCTTTAATAAAGTGTATATCCCTCAGACGCGGCCCGAGAGGGCATTCAAGGGGACGAGCTTGCCTGGGTCAGGGGTTTGGGGGTGGGGATGGCTGCTAAGCCCCCTCTCAGCTCGGGACGCTGCCGCCAAGAGCCTCGAGCCGCGTGGCGCAAGAGCACAAGTCCTGAGCCTGCGTGCGCCAAGGCTTTCTGGGCGGGCACCTATTTTTCTGAGAAGTTCCAGCGCCCCTGTGCCCGGCCCTCCCTCCCCCTCGGCTTTCTAACTGGAAAGTTGCTCACCGGGCGGCGGGGGGCGGAGAAAGCGACCCAGACACCCCCGCCAACCCCCCTCGCCCGCGCTTCCTGCCCGGTCGCAGCCCATTGGCCGGAGGAATCCCCAGGAATGTGAGCGCCCCTTTAAAAGCGCGGTGCCTCGGTTCGCCAGCCACTGCACCCGAGCCGGCAGGCAAGTTCGGGTTTCCAACAGGGGGTCCCTCAGCAGCCCAAGTCTCCCACTGCCTCCGGCCACGCTGCCCTGGGCGCACCACCTGGCCCTGCGCCTCTCCAGCACCCTTGCCTGCTGCTGCTGCGTCTTTGCTACCGCTCCCGGCCGCTGAGCAGCTCCGTGCCCACACAGGTAAGTGCCCCGGGGTGGCCACCCCGCCAACCCCATGCTGCGCTGGCCGCCATCGTTCGCGAACTCTCGGGCTCTCCTGAGCTGCCCCTTTAGCTGCCTTCATCCTGTTCTGCTTGGCTGCTGGAGGGCTCTTTTCATCTTGAGATTTACAAACCACCTCATTGGAGCACCCCAAGATTTCCTGTTTTCTCCGAGTCCATCTAAACCTCCATAGCAGTCCTCTGGGGAGGAGGCTACTTCGCGGAGCCCTCCCTGCTGGCCCTAACAGACATCCCGGGGCCCAGCTGTTCCCTCTCACCTTCCTGAGAAACCCCCACCACTCCCAGGTGGGTGGCCCCTGTGCCCTCTGACCTTGGTTTTCCCTCTGGGGGAAAATCCCATTGGTCCTCATTCTAGCAAATGTTGAGACTGAAGGAGGATGCCAGAGGCGCCCTCTCCACCCCCCAGCTTTGGCTCCACCCTCCCCTCCCCTGCTTAGTGGTCCCTGACCCTGGGCTTTTACTCCCAGCTGCAGGCTCCCGGCTGGGCACAGACAGCTCCACCATGGGGCTGGCCTGGGGACTCGGTGTCCTGTTCCTGTTGCAAGCGTGTGGCACCAACCGCATTCCAGGTGAGTCTGTGGGACAGCTTGTGGGCAGCAGGAGGGAGGGAAGTGCTGGCTGCCATGATGGAGCCCTCAGCACTGCCTGCCCCCACCCACCCTGGACGGGGGCCTCTCTCCAGCTCTTTCAGTGGCTGCCTGGCCCTGTGGTCCCATCCCCGCTTCCCGCAGGGCTAAGCCCCCCACCTGAGCCCCAACCTAGAAAATTCTCACTATGGCCTTTCCTCTCCCACAGAATCCGGGGGAGACAATAGTGTGTTCGACATCTTTGAGCTCACGGGGGCCGCCCGCAGGGGCTCTGGGCGCCGGCTAGTCAAGGGCCCCGACCCGTCCAGCCCTGCTTTCCGCATTGAAGATGCCAACCTGATCCCCCCGGTGCCTGATGACAAGTTCCAGGACCTAGTGGATGCGGTGCGGGCAGACAAAGGTTTCCTCCTGCTGGCCTCCCTGAGGCAGCTGAAGAAGACCCGCGGCACGCTGCTGGCCTTGGAGCGCAAAGACAACTCAGGCCAGATCTTCAGCGTGGTCTCCAACGGCAAGGCGGGCACCCTGGACCTGAGCCTGACCGTGCAGGGGAAGCAGCACGTGGTGTCGGTGGAAGATGCTCTCCTGGCGACCGGCCACTGGAAGAGCATCACCCTGTTTGTGCAGGAAGACAGGGCCCAGCTGTACATCGACTGCGAGAAGATGGAGAACGCTGAGCTGGATGTCCCCATCCAGAGCATCTTCACCAGGGACCTGGCCAACGTCGCCCGACTTCGCGTTGCAAAGGGAGGCGTCAATGACAACTTCCAGGTGAGGCCTCTTCCTTGCAAGCCAGCTGACCTGGCTCAGGAAAGCTGCAGGGAACACCGGAAGATCCAGGCGACAGCTCCCCAGTTTTCCAAAGCATCCGATTCCCTGGAGGGCTAGGGGACCTGCACACTGCTGTCCCCCACCACTACCAGGACTGGGGCCTGAGAATTTGCATTTCTAACGGGTGCCAGGTGATGCTGAGGTTAGAGCAGTGGTCTGGGAAGCCATACTGTGAAAACTGCTCAGATGATTTTCCTTTAATAGTCTAGTCAAGCCATAGGTACTTTTTAAGCTTTTGAGAAAAATTCATTTGAATGGGAAGCTCTCAAGAACACCTTATTTTCAATGTGTGTTACCAGGACTAACATAGCTTGACAAGAGCGCTTGCGTGGGTAGAACCGGGATCCCTTTGCTCTTGGATTCCTCCTGGGGACGAGCCAGTCATGGTCACTGGCTGCTGCAGCTCCCTCCTTGCCCTAGCGTCTACATTTTTGTAACTGGCTTTGAACGCCCACATTTAATTCTTTGACATTGGAGAATGTCCTTGCATCCTCTGGGTTTTGTATCCAATTCCATTTCCTGTGTACTCAAATCAGCTGGATTCTTTCAAACACTGAAGACTTGGCAGAGGCACAAGTAAAATTTTGAAGGTGTCTGGAAGTTTATGTTGGGGTGTTATTTTGATAGGGTGATCTAAAAAGCAAGACCCTTGGAAGCTTTTTAAATGACCTATTTTGGGCTTAGAGCTCCACACGAGTAATCTGTGACCTCTGCCCACAGGGGGCGCTGCAGAACGTGAGGTTTGTCTTTGGAACCACACCGGAAGACATTCTGAGGAACAAAGGCTGCTCCAGCAGTGAGTATCCCTGTCTGTTTAGGGCAGTTGGGGGAAATTCAGATGGGGGGTGGGATTTCCACCAAAAGCCACCTGAGCAGTGTAAGCACTGGTGATCATGAACACATTTTCCCCAGGGAACAAAGAGGTGACCTGCCTCCAAAAGTCTTCCACACACAAGCATCTCTTCCACCTGCACCCCTCCTTCCAGATGTAGTAAATGCCTTCTAAAACTGAGACCTGAAAGGGCTCGACAGTCAGATCCTCCGTTTGCAGTTATTGCTTTGTTCATCTTGTCTCCTGGCAGACAGCCGTGTCCTTCTCCCCTTCGACAACAATGTGGTGAATGGATCCAGCCCTGCCATCCGCACTGACTACGTTGGCCACAAGACAAAGGATGCCATCTGTGGCATCTCCTGTGAAGAGCTGTCCAACATATTTCTGGAACTCCGAGGTCTGCGCACCATCGTGACCACGCTGCAGGACAGCATCCGCAAAGTGGTCAGTGGCCTGTGGCCTCCACAGCTCCCTGCCCAGCTGCTTGCACGCACCTAGCCCTGGGATACCTTGAGCAGGGGAGCCCCCAGGGACCGAGCAGAGGCTCACACACTAACCTTCTCCCTCCTCCTTTCAGACTGAAGAGAACAAAGAGTTGGCCAACGAGCTCAGGAAACCTCCTCTGTGCTACCACAATGGAGTCCAGTACAGGAACAACGAGGAATGGACAGTCGACAGCTGCACGGAGTGTCGCTGCCAGGTGAGGGCTCTGACACACTAAGAGAAAACAGGGCTGGATGCCAGGTGTTTGAAGCTACTGGCTCTGTGGGAAATACTCAGTTGACCACACAGGCTCTTGTCATTTTCCCAAGCTTGGTGCCACACAGTGCCTTTTTGTTTTGTTTTGTTTTTTACTTTCAGAGGCAATGATGGCATCTATAAATTCTTTCTTAAACTCTCAGAAGGTTTTAGTTCAAGTCTTAATTATACAGCAGGCTAGAAGCATTTCAGAAAACAAATCTTGAAGACAGCTGAATAACTTACCTACTTTAGTTCAAAGGCTAAGTGTTGAATGTCAGGTGATTAAAACCTAGTTGAAACAATCCTCCTCTTTTTTTTCCAGCTCTGGTTTGTATTCAGCTGTGGCACAGTGGTTCTTTTACTACCATACAGGTTGTTGTGGAGATCCCTTAGCCCGTATTGTTTAGGATGTCCCGGGACTCTTAGCTCAGATTGCACTGCCTGCTGCTGCTCTGCCCACACTCCTGGCAGACAAGTTCAGAGATTTTCCTGGCATAGGAAGCAAAGTTAGGTTTTAATGCAAATCACAGGTTACTGAGTTTGGAAGCCAACTTCATTAAATTTCCATTCTTTTCCAATATGATTAATCCAGATCTACAAATGCCAAAAAAAAAAAAATGCTTACAGAATCTTATTTTCCCCCGCTAAAAAGAAAATCTAACACGTTCAAAAGTTCTGGCTGAGTTTTGTGAGCTCAATTTCAGACACAAGTTTGACGAGTGCTATTTACTGGTTCCTTTATTGAAGTTCCTCATAGTGGAACTTCTGTCTTTGAGTAGCAATTTAAAAAGGCTCTCCAAGGAATTAAATGACAAGTAGCTAGCACCAGAAATCTTTGCCTGTTAGGCATGGTTGCAGATATAGCACATCATTTCACTAGGATGTTTGCATTCCACCATTTGGCTTCTAATGAAAATGATAGAATATGTTACCTTCTGTTGGCCATACACAAAGTAACCCATCTTCTCATCACTCTCTTGCTTTATAGAACTCAGTAACTATCTGCAAAAAGGTCTCCTGCCCCATCATGCCCTGCTCCAATGCCACAGTTCCTGATGGAGAATGCTGCCCACGATGTTGGCGTAAGTTCCCCAAGTAGCAGCACCATTCTTCTAGGCCAGTTCTAACACACCCTGGACAGCTGAGCACCATGCTGAACCCCACCCTCATCACTTCCTCCACCTTCCAGGCTTTTATTCTGCTTCTTGCTGCAGCAGCTGGGTAACTGAGACCTTGTCTGCCATGTGGAGCCAAAAGCTTCTTTTATAGCTAAATATTATGGTATAGGCAGTAAGAATCTTGGTATGGCTATTGATTCCTTTCCTCAAGGAAAGGAGATAAATAGGCAGCTACAATATCTCTAAGTTGGCTGCTTTTAGCATTTTTTTTTTCTTACAGGTAAAGACTTAAGAAAAACCTGCTTACCACAGGAATGAATAGGCTTATGGGATGAGCATTAGATTGAACTGGGCTTGGAAGTGTGTGCATTGATAGGAGTACAAGACTAGGATCCGTTTGAGTGATAAGGCTCTGTGTGTTCCCTGGCATCCTCTCCTTGGTTTTGGATCGTCAGTGTACTCTGATCGCTTTGCTGGAACAATGTTTAATATACTGGGTATAGATCATCCAAATGAGTCATTCCAACTAAGATAAGGAAGACGACAGGAAAGTAGCACTTGGCCTACACACACACACACACACACACACACACACACACACACACACACACACACACACACTGGCCATGACTCAGAATAAACACTAGCACTTTGCTGGGTGTTAGCAGAGTTCTGAACTGGAATCAGGGACTGCTAGGAAAGTTTCCAACTGAGGAAAAAGAAAGCAGACTGTTTTCTCTGATACAACTAGATGTGATTGCAGTCATGGTGCTTGGGCAGATGGTAAACAAACATATTCTCTCACACATATATGTGCAGAAAATACCCCACATACCAGCATAAGAGGAACACCAAACTGACTAACCTGGTGACCGAGCTGGAGCCTGAGCTGACGGCAGCTCAGCTGCCTTCAGGCTCATCTGTCAAGCACATGGCCATGGTTTCCCTCATGGTCAGAAGTAACTGAAGTGCCAGATGCCTGAAACTCTAGCATTCTTGGAAGCCTGGGACTGGAAATGCCTGTCTAGATAGCTTAAGTCAGTAATAGGAAATTCCCTGGAAATGAGGGATGAGAAGAGGAAGCAACAAGCAGGCTGGGAGAAGGCTCAGCTGGGTCAACCCAGGCGGCACATGCTAAAATCCCAACACGCCAGTGCTACACCCCCAGCAGCCTGAGATAACCCCTTGTCAGCCAGCCTAATCAGCACCTTGTAACCTTTGATTCTAAGTTCCCCAGATCCCATGTAGAACACACTGACCATAGTTATAATATTAAATTATACCCTTGACATTTCTGAAACCATTACCATGGAAAAAGGAATTAACTTTATGAGGTCATAGGCAAGTTCATGAACTACAAGCTTGACAGTGATAAAAGGGACACATACCAAAACAGCAGTTGTGCACCTTAACAGATTTTTATCCGTTGTCCCTCAGTAAAGCTTGGATAAGAGAAATGCACTGCTTTGCACTCTAGCTAGGAGGGCTGTGAGCAGAGCGGGCTAAGGAATAGTCTACATTCATCACCAGACACTAACCAGCCTGTATCCCCACAGCCAGCGACTCGGCAGATGATGGCTGGTCTCCATGGTCTGAGTGGACCTCTTGCTCTGTGACATGTGGCAATGGAATTCAGCAGCGTGGCCGCTCCTGCGACAGCCTCAACAACCGATGTGAGGGCTCCTCAGTGCAGACCCGGACCTGCCACATCCAGGAGTGTGACAAGCGATGTAAGCATCTGTGCTTGGGGAGGATAAATCTGTCCTTGTCACCACTCACGGCAGCTCCACAGCAAGGACCTTTGAAGCACAGGTCCTAGAAGCTCTGGGTTTGAACCCCTTCTCCTACTTGCCTGTGCACTTTTGAGTAGGACTTATTCTTTCTCTTTCCTTATCTGTAATTTGGGGAGAGTAATCATTCTTGATAAGATTATTTGTGAGCATGTTATTTCTATGATGCCTGTAAAACAATCAGCACAGAACTTTGTTCATGGTAAGCACCTAGTAAATATTGGATCATTAATAACAAACACACAAAGACAGCTACATATTAACTGCACTCTGGTAGAAAACGTTCAATGCTAGCATTAACGGACACATGGTCAAGCGCCATTTTCTGCCACACACAGGATTTGGCTGCCACTGGAAATACTTTTGTATGAGCCAACGGTTACCCAGCTGATACCATCTGTATGACCATCAGCTTTGTACTTCAGTTAAACAGGATGGCGGCTGGAGCCACTGGTCCCCGTGGTCCTCCTGTTCTGTGACATGCGGAGATGGTGTGATCACAAGGATCCGGCTCTGCAACTCTCCCAGCCCCCAGCTGAACGGGAAACCATGTGAAGGCGAAGCTCGGGAAACCAAAGCCTGCCGGAAAGACGCCTGCCCGAGTAAGTGGGCGCTCAGCTGCAGGGTGGGGGCCAGGATGGCGACAGCTCTGCCCAGCTGGGTGCTTGGTGTCTGCAGCCTGCAGTTCAGTGGGTCAGCAAGGGGCAAGGTTACCTGCTAGATAAACAAACAGAAGGAAATACCTGCAGGCTCAGCAGCTTGTTTTAATGAAAAACAGAAAAGAAGCCCTGTCAAGCTCACCCTCCCCCAGACATTATTTCCATATGTAGGAGGAGGGAGGCAGAGGTTTCTTGAAGAGGTTCAGGAAAGTCTCCCAGGACTGGCGAAGGATTTGAAAATGGACCTTAATTTTTGCATGGGATTCATTTTCTTCCAGTCAACGGAGGCTGGGGCCCCTGGTCCCCATGGGACATCTGTTCTGTCACCTGCGGAGGAGGGGTGCAGAAACGAAGCCGGCTCTGCAACAACCCTGCACCCCAGTTTGGAGGCAAGGACTGCGTCGGTGATGAGACAGAAAACCAGATCTGCAACAAGCAGGACTGTCCAATTGGTGAGTCACACAGTCCAAGACAAACACTCCCCCAGAGCTTCCTAGTTTGCTGACTATCGCAGTCAGTGTTCATGTGGCTTGCAGTCAAGGACATCCTCCTCACCTAGCTTAACACTGTGATTGAGAAAGAGCATCCCAGACCAACTGTTAACCTGTCTCTCTCACCTTGTCCCAGATGGATGCCTGTCCAATCCCTGTTTTGCGGGTGCTAAGTGTACAAGCTACCCTGATGGCAGCTGGAAGTGTGGCGCCTGTCCCCCTGGGTACAGTGGAAATGGCATCCAGTGTAAAGATGTTGATGAGGTGAGGACCAGAGGGCTCTGATTAGGTGATCCAGGACAGCATGGACATGTCCAGCCACATCCTTACTGCAGTGTTTCCCAACCAATAAGCAAAATTTCTCCTCCTCAGTGCAAAGAAGTACCTGACGCCTGCTTCAACCACAATGGGGAACACAGGTGCAGAAACACAGACCCCGGCTACAACTGCCTGCCCTGCCCTCCACGCTACACTGGCACACAGCCTTTCGGCCGGGGTGTTGAACATGCCATGGCTAACAAACAGGTATGATTGGCTAGACTCATACTCCAGAGCAGAGAAGAGCTGATCTTGACCTAAACACCCAGGAGTGTACAGAGGTGTAATCTCATAGCCTTCCCCAAAGGGGAGGGATAAATGAAGCCTGAGTAGAAAATCCATGATAAACCCTGCAGGGGCAAAAAGGCCCATCTTAAAATGCTGCTCTGCAGTATGAACTCATAAATGTCAAGGTGATAAGCAATTTCAAAAAACATAAATAAATGTAGAGCAAAATTTGCATGTAGCCTGGCCATCCTTGGGGGCAGAATGGGAAACTGACCGTGTTCCTCCAACTGCAACCTCTGTCCATTTAGCAATGAGAGGGCACCAACAGGGATCTGGATTTTTCTTGTTTCTGTGTTATCTGGGAATTCTGGGTGGCTTTGTGTTGACATCAGGATGTGTACCCTCAGGTATGCAAGCCCCGCAACCCCTGCACAGATGGGACCCACAATTGCAACAAGAATGCCAAGTGCAACTACCTGGGCCACTACAGTGACCCCATGTACCTGTGTGAGTGCAAGCCTGGCTATGCTGGCAATGGCATCATCTGTGGGGAGGACACAGACCTCGATGGCTGGCCAAATGAGGACCTGGTGTGCATCGCCAATGCAACTTACCACTGCAAAAAGGTAGGGCCATCTTCCTGTGTGTGCCTGTCACCTTCAGCAAACAGATTTTTACATACTTAAACCTCGTAAATGAAACTGAAAGATGAAATCTCCATGAAAGAGGACATTATGTTATTGATATTAATGTCATTAATATTAAATTATTTGGTGCTAAGAACATGGATGGAACAGGTTCTTTGGGCAGTTATGGTATAAGTTGATTCCTTTGTCCAAGAGAATTCTGACTGCTCTGGCAGATAAACAGAGAACATACATGTTTATATGTTCATAGCATGTGTAAAGTCTGAACAATTAGACAGTCTATGTGCAACCCCCAAGAAAACATCTCATCTTCATAGCAGAGTGACAGTCCATGCTTTTTTTTTTGATTTGAAAGTGTCCTAGTGCCCATGTATGATTTGTGAGCTGGGCAAAGGGAATGCAATCTATAGCTGTAACGAGTCTCTTCTCTTTCCTAGGATAACTGCCCCAACCTCCCCAACTCAGGGCAGGAAGACTATGACAAGGATGGAATCGGTGATGCCTGTGATGATGATGATGACAATGACAAAATCCCAGACGACAGGGTAAAAACAGAATATGTGCCCTACCTGTTTCTTCTCTTCAGTTTAGCTACAACCTGAAATATTTTAGGATTTAAAAATTACAGCATTATAGCAAGAAACACAGCCAGTGGATATGTAAGATAATAACAAATTCTTCATGGTGGTTTAGTAGTTTTAGGAGACATACATAATGCCAGGAGAATTTTTAAAGGAGTTTTGTTAACCATCACAACACCCCCCCCCCAATATGAGAGAGAAATTAGTTACCAATGACCCCTTGACCCTCAGATTTATTTCACATGTCCTGTCTCAGTCAGTAACATTTACTTGGGGCATACAAAGAGCTAAGATGATCAAATGACATTTTACTTGTACTGATTTGAAACCAACAGAAATACACTTTTAATTCATTATGTACTCTGGCTTTTGACTTTTATAGCGATCATGTTACACTGGATAATCAATCAACATGTGCCCTAAGTAGGAAATAATCAATTGCAAGCATTTTTGCAATTTTCTGCCTACCATTCATGTGGGCCAAAGCCTAAGCTGGTTCCACTGGAGGCATTCTAATGTGCTCCTTCTTTCTTCTTTCTGCAGGACAACTGTCCATTCCATTACAACCCAGCCCAGTATGACTATGATCGAGATGACGTGGGTGATCGCTGTGACAACTGCCCCTACAACCACAACCCAGATCAGGCAGACACAGACAGCAATGGGGAAGGAGATGCCTGTGCTGTGGACATTGACGGAGATGGTAAGGCCCTACCTGGCCCCACAGGCCCATGCACAATGGGAAACACACTCAGATTTCAATCCATTTCTCCAGTGTCCTCGACATGCTTAGGTAGTTTCATTCAAGAGTGGAGATATGAGCTCTGATGGGTCCCCTGTTCCTCACAGGTATCCTCAATGAACGAGACAACTGTCAGTATGTCTACAACGTGGACCAGGAGGACACTGATATGGATGGAGTTGGAGACCAGTGTGATAACTGTCCCCTGGAACACAATCCCGACCAGGTAGGGCGATTACTTTAGGAGTCAGTCAAGTCTGTGAACTTCTCTTTCTAGGCCTTTACAAAATCAGTCAAATGGAGTTTAAAAACTCATCACCAATGCTTTCAGTATTCTCAAATGCAGTATGTTCATGGGAACAATTTGTCTGATGTGACCTTATCCAGAGCCCCCATGTGTCTTCAATGTGAAGATCCTATCAGACATGTTCTCCATGAGCAAGTGCACTTGACTTGATCACTGTGACTTACCACTGTTAAGATAAATTAGGAAGAGCAAAGATTTGAGACTGAAAATTCTATCATCATATTAATCATGTCTAAGACTAAGAGTGTTTTAAATGTATTCTTTGCATACATTTTATAACTATGTTTTGCAGAAAAAAAAATCCTTAAGCAGTTGAACCTTTTTCATGGCTAATGATATAATCTGGTTCTGTAAAATCATCAAACTAGAAGTATTCCCAAAAGCTGAAGAAACCATGTTTTTTTCATTCTTTGTCCATATTAGGGATGCTGCAAAAAGACACTGCATGGAACAGGGCTCTCAGCTGAAAACATTTTTCTTTCTGTGTAATTTCCCACAATTATTATCTAGAGATAGAACCTAAGAAACAGCATTTTTTTTTCTCAAATTGCATTGTTATGAGAGCTTGGAAAACAGCTTTCGTTTTCAGGGGTGGGAATATCTGGCCCATGGGCTGTATAAGGCCCATGAAATCATTTGATCTGGCCCTGCCAAAGCAACTCAGGTGGGACTCAAAACTCAATAAATCTGTAGCAGGTTAATTTTTAAGTTGGTAATTTTATATGGCTCATTAATTATGTTATAAATATCCAAATAGCCCTTGGCAGAAAAAAAAAGTTCTCCACCCCTGGTTAAACGGTAACAGTTTGTAAGACTAAAGAAATGAGACTGTTAGAGTCTCCCCCCACCCCTGATATTTGCTTGTATGAAATTCTAGCAAGCAGAAAGTGATAAGATAAAGAGCTTCAAAGTCACAATGGGAAGCATAACATCTGGAATGGGTGGCTGATCAAATAACATTAAAGACCATCTATCTTTCCTTCTGATTTTGCCATAAATTAAATCATCTCAGTGTCATTTAACCTCAATGGAGGAGATTTTTTCCCTTAGATTTTGATAAATTCTATGGCAAAATATGAGAATCAGGCAAAAAATGTTAAAAGCAAAGATAATGTATACTGAAAAGAAAAATTCCAGTTAGCATAGAGTCCTAGGTACCCAGTGCAGAGTGAACAGTGTTAGTAATCTGAAAAATACAGATTCAAAGAAATACAGAGTTTGACTTTGCCTGAGCCATACATAACAGTACTTATTGACATTTATAAATAAATCAAATACCTTAAAAAAAAGCTTCCTATCATGTACATTACCCAGGTTGTACACAGGAATTACTGCTATGTTTCCATAATTTCATGACATAGAACAAGCTGACATGTTAACAATTTCATACTTGAACTTTCAATAGAAAATTATAAAATGTACTCATGGAATTTATATTTTTAAAAAGTATTCTGATTTTTTTTCATATAAAAACAAGGAAACCCAAAAGACAGGAAAAAAAGAGAAAAAATACAGGAAACCCAATAGCCAAATCAGACACGGGACTTGTCCCTGCGGTGGAAACACCCACGTTCTCTTTGTCATGGCTAATCTATGTTCTGGCTCACTCTCCATGTCTGTCTTTCTCAGCTGGACTCTGACTCGGATCTCATTGGAGACACCTGTGACAACAATCAGGATATTGATGATGATGGCCACCAGAACAATCTGGACAACTGCCCCTATGTGCCCAATGCCAACCAGGCTGACCATGATAAAGATGGCAAGGGGGATGCCTGTGACCATGATGATGACAATGATGGCATTCCTGATGACAGGGACAACTGCCGGCTTGTGCCCAATCCTGACCAGAAGGACTCAGATGGTAAGTCAGTCAAGCCACTTTTTTTTTAACAAGTAGCAGACACCACAGCTGTCTTATGGAAAAGAGAAAAAGCTGAAAGCACTTGGGGAGATGAAGTAACTAAATGTTAATTTTGACAAAACAGTAAATTTGGATACCCATAATGGCATTTCAGAATTTCACAAACCCTTGCCTTTTTTGACCATAGGTGATGGTCGAGGTGACGCTTGCAAAGATGATTTTGATCATGACACAATTCCAGACATCCTTGACATCTGCCCTGAGAATGTTGATATCAGTGAAACTGACTTCCGCAAATTCCAGATGATTCCTCTAGACCCCAAGGGTACCTCCCAAAATGACCCTAATTGGGTTGTACGCCATCAGGGTAAAGAACTTGTCCAGACTGTCAACTGTGACCCTGGACTTGCTGTAGGTGAGTATGGAATTCCTGGATCACAAGGCCAATATTTAATATGTGGGAGAGAAACAGAAACAAAAACCACCATATGCACCTGTCTGTGGGTGCTGTAAGTGTCTGGGAACATGATGAGGAACCTCAAGGCTTCCAGCTGTAACCTGGCTCTGACCTCATCTTTCAGGCTTTGCTGAGTTTAATGCTGTGGACTTCAGTGGCACCTTCTTCATTAACACGGAAAGAGACGATGACTACGCTGGATTTGTGTTTGGCTATCAGTCTAGCAGCCGCTTCTACGTGGTGATGTGGAAGCAACTCACTCAGTCCTACTGGGACACCAACCCTACCAGGGCTCAAGGATACTCAGGCCTGTCTGTGAAGGTTGTGAACTCTACCACAGGGCCTGGGGAGCACCTGCGGAATGCCCTGTGGCACACAGGAAACACTCCTGGCCAGGTAAGAAGCAATGCCCCATAGAAGGAAGTGAGTCAGTGGGTATTCTATGAGCACTCTGGTTGCTTTGCTTTTCCCAATAGGAAATCTAAGATTTGATTTTGCCAGCATTGCTAGCTAAGCTGTGCTCTGTAAAACTTAATCTGAAAGGGGAGCTCATTCTGTCCAAGAATCATCCTTAAAATGTGAAGATGGTGTGACCATCTTCAAAACAGAACACTTCCTTCCCATCTCTCTGCTTTATTATGTGCATTCAGTGGTATGCAGCAAATAAAAGAACCCTTGGCGGGGGGTGGGGATGGAAAATCCTCCATTGCAGCCATCTAATCTGAGACAGGTTGGCACCTGGCAAGCACTGTTTGTTAAAGAATGAAACATGGACCTCGTTCCGATCCAACTGTGCTCCAATCTCTTTTCCTTTTCCTAAAGGTGCGTACCCTGTGGCATGACCCTCGTCACATTGGCTGGAAAGATTTCACTGCTTACAGATGGCGTCTCAGCCACAGGCCAAAGACAGGTTACATTAGGTAAGATTTATATTGATTAAGCTGCATTTAGCTTATACTGATGGGCAAAACAAACAAACAAAAACAAATGAGGAGATAAAAGAAAAAGTAACAGTTACTGAGATTTCTGGTTTTTTCCACAGAGTGGTAATGTATGAAGGGAAGAAAATCATGGCTGACTCAGGACCCATCTATGACAAAACCTATGCTGGTGGCAGGCTAGGATTATTCGTCTTCTCCCAAGAAATGGTGTTCTTCTCCGACATGAAATATGAATGTAGAGGTAGGAGCAATATTACACGTTTCTAATTTTGACTGATATATAGGGCGACAATTATGGGAAAGGCCAATTTAAACATTATTTGAAAGAGAGAAAATGTTTTTAGGACATATTGGTAAAAAATGAAATAATGCCTGTGAGAATTATTGTTCTCAAGAACTACTTATATTATAATTTTCAAGTCTGAATTAAAAAAAAATTACTCCCTATGCATTTAATATTGAAGGCCTTAGAAAGCACAACTTTGGAAAGTTGTATCTGTCACTCCCCTGGCATCAATACTGGTCAATAAAATGAGATAGTAATACATTTAAACAATCTTAAATTATCGCTTCTGTCAGTATAGAATAACAACTATTGCTAGGTGATTAGCTGACATTAAGATGACTGTGCTGTTAACTACTTTTTCAGTGATGTACTTACATATATTCATTTGTCTGTTTTAATAGATTCCTAATCATCAAGCTGTTGATTGAAAGACTGATGATAAACCAATGCTGGTGTTGCACCTTCTGGAACCATGGGCTTGAGAAAACCCCCAGGATCACTTCTCTTTGCCTTCCTTTTTTCTCTGCTTGCATCCATATGGATTCCTGCCTCAAGGAAATGTGGTTTTCAAAAACAGACTCAGCCTTCGGCCTCCAATGAATAAGAGGACATCTTCCAAGAATAGAAACAATGGTGTGCTTTTGCCAAAAAGCAAATACATCTACTCACTTCAACTAGAAAGGAGCCTGCCCTGCGCTGCTCTGGTCAGAGCAGGGTGCTCTTGTGAGGCCATCTGTGAGCAGTGGACTCCACAGCATCCTCAGGCAGGTCAGAGAAGGGAGGAATCACTAGAATTAGCAAACAAAAATATGCCTGACATACTCCCTCAGGAACTGGGGGTGGGGAGCAGGAGCCCGGAGCACTAAGGGGGAGGACACATAACCTAAGAGATGATTGAATGAAGAAAAATGGGGGAACTGTTACACAATTGGTACTAAATCACTTTCAGGGGACTGAAAGACTCTTGCTGGATCTCATGATGCTGACTGGTGTTGGCTGATGAACCCATGTGAATAGGCACTTAGAGAGAAGCAGGGGAGGAAGGGAAGGACTGGCTTCTGGACGCCCTCCCTGATCCCCAGCTGTTACATATCAGAGTTAGAAAATCAAAATCAAACCAGTGTCAGGCAGTGCTGGCTACCAACTTCCGATCACATTGAACTTGGCTAGTTTTCCTCCAGAGGTAGCTTGTGCAGATGTAGCAGGGAACTAGGAAAACCTACCATCTCAGTGAACCCCAGCTGCCCCGCAAGGGAGGGGTAGCGGGTTTCTATTTTATGGTTAGAAAGGCACAAAATTATCAACCTAATTAAAACATTCCTGTTCTCTTGCTTCCTGAATTAGCATGGAGTTCTCCAGTCCTCTCTTTCGGATGGTAGAATTCTTTCTTTTCTTAAAAACAAAGACTTTACAATGTAAAATATTTATTTTTGACTTGATACAGAGGATTCATGGAACAGGAAGAAGTGTCAGGACTGTCCATATCATCTTTGCTAGGAGTCTTCACGACTGTAAGATTGTAAATACAGATTATTTATTAACTCTGTTCTACCTGGAATTATATTTCATATGAAAGGTGTTTGAGAGGTTACTGAAATTTATCAGCAAGTGGCTTACAAGAATGGCACAAGGGATATTAGCTGTAAGCAGCTGCCCCTGGTGCTTAGAGGGACACATCTGGGACTCTGTTTTCTTTGTTCTTTGTAGAGTGGAATTCATTGTGTCCTTTTGCAAGTGTTTTAGATTGTGAAGAAAGCCATGAGGTCTTTAATACTGTTTTATCCCATCCCTTATGCCTATTTCCAGGGAGAAAAAAAACACACATACACTTTTTTTAAATCATTTTTCCAAAAGAGAAAAAATTACAAACGTGAAACTTATATACAAATATTACCTCATTTGTTGTGTGACTGAGTAAAGAATTTTTGGATCAAGCAGAAAGTTTAAGTGTCTAACAACTTAAAGCTACTGTAGTACCTAAAAAAGTCAATGTTTGTACATAGTATAAAATTTCTTTGCAAAAAGTATTCCCAGTAAGGAAATTGCGTTAAAATACTGAATACAGTTTCTGAAAGTTGTGTTTTTTTTTCTATCATCTTGTATACCATTGCTTTGTTTTTATAAATTATTTTCTCATTGCCATTGGAATAAGTAGATATCTCAGATTGTGTAGATATGCTATTTAAATAATTTATCAGGAAATACTGCCTGTAGAGTTAGTATTTCTATTTTTATATAATGTTTGCACACTGAATTGAAAAATTGTTGGTTTTTCTTTTTTATTATTTGTTTTTTTGCTTTATACTCCCCTCCCAATTTTTACTATTTGCCAATACATTTTCTAGAAATTGGCTTTTTGTACACATTTTTATCCATTTTTACATTGTGAAACAGTGTAAGTTGTGTATTACTGTTTCTTACATACAAGGAAAACAATAAATCATACAGAAATTTATATTTATACCTACTGTATCCATGTTTATTTCTTCCCCGGCTTTATGGAATATGAAGACATATCATTCTTAAACCAAGACGGGATTCAGAACATGAAATTATAGTAAATAACAGTGGCATTCATGGTTCCTATACAATTTAGAAAGACTGAGCTGCCAAAGCTGAGGCTTACAACATTGTTTGCTGGGTTTGTGGAATAAAAACAAAACAGCAAGTCAGCCTGCCATGTCATAAAGCCCAAAAAGGGATAATTTAACTTGTTATTAATGTCATGAGATGTCATTTACTGAATCATTTCCAAAGTCCATTTCCTTTCTAAGAGTGAAGGCAAGGAACTGACAGTAAGACCTGGAATTTAAAGCCATGTTTACTGACCCAGGAATGATGGTTCTGGGCAGGTACTGTGCATGTCACAGAGACGCTTCAGAAGTCTGTATGAGGGAGGGAGTGTCCTTGAAAAGTTGACCCCAGCACTGTAGATGACACATTCTGGTGACGGAGAAATTCCTTTGGTCAAAAACATTACTACAGAGAAACACAAAATATGGAAGGAAAGCATAAATTGTGTCAGGGGTGTATGTGTGAGTATGTGTGTGTGTGTGTATGCACGCATATCAACTTAATCTGATAAGAGAAGACCAAAGTATTACAGCAAACAGATATAAGTTGTGGATAAACTAACCAAGAAAGTAGAATACTCACCAATTGACTTTCAAATCAATAAAAACATTACAAAGAGAAAATTTTATGAGTAGGTTAAAGGTGTGACTTTAAGACCCGTGGAACACTAGAAAGGAGTGGCAGTGAGAATCCTCCTCCCTTGTTGATTTTTCCCTCTTAAATAAAAACATCTTCTAGGTAGCAAGATCACATAGCAATAGAATTACCCAATCATTTTATAATGCAGAGATCCTGAAGGAGGAACTGGAATGTGTAGGTAATACTTGTGGAGTTGAGAAAACTGGGCTAACAAAATGACTCGGACAGACAACATTGATCATTGTCACATTTCGACATATTAAGTCCTAAGAAAAAATGTGAATCCCTTTTTAGGAGGTAGAGTAAAAGTGACTGAAAATACCAAAATGAGACAGAAGAACTGGTTGGGATAGACGGCTTTATTTTCCCAGGCATGTTCTATTTTCATTCCCACACAGGCCTTCAAATCAGCAGGTTATACAGAAATAAGGGGTTTGTTTAAAATTGTAAAGTAGAGATGATAGCTTTTTTTTCTTATATGAGTTTATTGTCATGTGCTTCTGGAGAGTTAGATTAAAAGCCAGTAAAGTTCATGCCTTAGGAGAATTTACACACAAATACACAGAGTGAGAGAATGAGAGAGAGAGAAAGAAAGAAAGAGATAGAGGAAAAGCCTCAAATTTTAAGCTCTTAATTTCTTTCCTACAACAAATTAGCTAGTTCTTTCTTCTATACTTCTCATTCTCTATTTTGTTATGGGACAAAGACTAGGCATAAAAACAATGTGAAAATAAAAGCAATATTAGTAAGAATAATTTGATCAGAATGACTCTTTTATCTGAACTCTTTGTGCTAAATGATCAGTTCCGTTTACAACCCCTTTTTAGAACTACCTTCAGTTAACCTGCTGTGGAATGGTGTCACTTCTTATCACGGCAAGATTCACTGCATCAAATCTCTGCTTTCTTCCCTTTTAACTGAGCTCCTGTAATGGTGAGTGGGGCTTGTAACGCCCTCAAATACTATTTGCAGAGATATCATTCTCAAGACATAATTCATTTGCAGTGCTGGCTTAGAAATCATTTCTGTTTTTTACTGTCTTCCTTCTTCCTCTCCTTCTGTGTCTCCAGACACACACTCCACACATCAAACGCCAAGAAAGCATGGATTTAGAAAGCCATGCTCCGTTGAAAGGCTGATAGGCAATGACGGCTTCTCTCTGGTGCACACCAAATTCCCACCCGAATCACTTCTACTCTGACTGTTCCCACCCAAACATGACAGCACACAGGAATTCAATAATTCATTCTTACAAGAATCCAAAATCATGGCTTTTCATTTCATTTGGCATCCCACAGCAAAACTCATGACATTAAGATGAATTACATTATAACTCAACTGACATCAGCAAGAAACCCTGCTATTTCAAATGAACAGTCAACTGAAATAGAAGGACTAGAAAAAAGAAAGAAACTGCCTAAGAATACTGTGAAAATAGTAACTGTACAGTTCTTCACTTTGCAAAGTTGAGTAAATCAAATGTGAGCTGTCATCAATGTCATCCTGTATTGGATGAACATGTCCCAGCAAACAGTAGCACGGCTACATACACATTACTACAAATTTTATTAAAGGCAGTGCAACAGCCAGTTCACTTTAAAAAATGGAAATAAATTAAACTTCCGGTCCTAATGCAAATTCATCTTATAGAATATTGACAAAATTTCTTCATCAATCTATGTTACTGATTTGAAAATAGATAAACAAACTTTACCATAATTTTTCTACAAAGTGACACATCTCTATTTGCTGCATTACAAATGGCCCCAAGCTCTGAATGAAAAAAAAATCTGAAAGTAATATACATCAAATAATTCAAACACCTACTTAAGAAAAGCATTACCACTAAGACAGCACACTGTTGTTATTTAGGAAAGCTATATCCTCTAAGTGCAAATGGCAATTACTTAATAGTTGGTTGACAGACAGAAGGAAAAGCAAGACCAGCCAAAAAAACTCATAGGAACCACAATCTGTCACAACTAAGTTTGAATGTATAAAGTAAAATCCCTAAGCAATCATAACATTTCAGCTAGTTTTAACATAACGTACACACATATTAAAATGTTGGTTTTTATTACACATCCCTGATATCCAAGGTTAGTAAACATACTTACAAACAATTTTCCCAGGAGTTGCATTGAAGAAAAATCACAGAAAAAGTATGCCCAAAGTCTCAAAAATATCAAGGAAATGTAATCCACAAGGAATGAATCCAAATGTCAAAATCATCTCTAATGCATTCATTGAATTTAAACAATTTTTCAAAAAATAGTTTAAACATGATTACCAGCTTTCTTAAGAGCATACCCCAGCAAGTCTTTGTTTAGAATCCTCACATTTTTGCACATCTTTAGTCTCCAGTTCATCTGCGTATAAGGCAATAACCAAAGGTACTAGGTGATCAGAAATGTGTACATGAGTAAGAAAAAACTCATCCTAAAACACAATAAATCTTGTACACAAGACAATAATCATACTCTCATTTGATATTTATTGAATGGCCACCACAAACATACAAAGTTTACAAGAAAAGTCTAAAAATAAAATGCTTGCCCTTACTAAGTTTGCAGCTTAGGGAGGAACACTTTCTTTTGAGAGCTGACATGATAACGATTTGGAGACAATTCCCAAGTTTCTGGAAAGTAAAGTGAAGCCAAAAATCAATGCCACATGCAAAGTAGACAAGAGTTGGTTGCATTCATTCTTTCAAAGTGAGAAAAATTGTGACATAACTCAAATGGCTATCTTTTTCTACCTTTTGTGAAAGTCATTAATAAAAGGCAGAACTGACTGTGGAACTAAGCAAGACAATCAAAGAGAACCTGGATGAACTGGGACTCTGGGGCATTGATGGAGAGAATGTAAAATGGTACTGTAGCTTTGGATATGGTATAGGACACTGCCCTCCACCCTCAAATTTATGTCTTTATCTTAGTCCCTGGAACCAATAGGTCTGCCACTTCATTTGGGAAAAGGGTCTTTAGAGAAGCAAGTCCATTCAAGATCTTCCTATGATGGGATTATGCTGGATTACCCCAGACTGCCCTTAATGTAGCAGCAAGTATCTTTAGAGGAAGACTGACACACACATAGAGAGGGGGGCAACAGGAAGTTGGAAGAAGCCCGAGATGGAGCGATGTGGCCATGAAGTAAGAAAGCCAAGCAAGGCCACAAGTCATCAGACACTGAAAGTAGCACCAAGGAAGTGTTCTCCTGAAAGGCCTCCAGATAGTGCTCTTGGTGATAACTTGGCTTCACACTCTCGCCTCCAGAACTGTAAGGGGATATACATTTCTGCTGTGGGAATTCATCATGGTAACAACAGGACACTAATAAAAGGTATATAAATTACATCTCAAAACAGTGTTGCTTTAAAAAAGGACAGACAATCCAGAGTTTCAAAGAGCAAACTAAGAAATACAATGATATTGCTAATACGGAAAAGAAATATTAAACAGGATGTAGTGAGAAGTTAGAGAAGAGGTGAACTGAAAGCTTCCAGTCAGGAAATGGGGGATCATGGGACCAGAACACCTAACTGCTCCTCCTTCTGTTATGAAGCACTCCTTTTGCTTGTCCTGAGGAGAACCACTCATCTTTGGTGGCTCAATTCAAATGTCACCTCCCGTTTCTCTAGTGCTCATCGTTCCTTCTCTAGCGTTGCTCATGAACTTCGAGACGCTTCCTATACTTGTTCTATTCAACTGCAATTATCTTTGCAAGAGCCTGCCTTCATCAATAAACCATGGAACGCTTCAAAACAGTGATTATAAACTGACCATCTGAGATTCATATCCTAGAAAAATAAGGGAGATTCTGTAGGCCAGTGAACATTTGGCAATGCCTGGAAATGTGTGTGTGTGTGCGTGTGTGTGCGCGCGCCAAATGCTACCAGCATCTAATGAATAGAGAACAGAGATGATAGACAGTAAACCTCCTCTGATACACATGACAGCCTTTCATGAGAAAGGAATGTCCAGCTCAAAATGTAGATACTGCCGTAAGAGTTAAAAAGCAAAGAAACAAACAAAACTGTTCTGAAACTTAATCTACAACACAGTAGAAACTCATGCAATGTGCAGGGCTGGTGGACAAGTGAGTGACTGACCAGTAGGATGGCAAATAGATAATGAATAAATAAGATGGGGCCTAGAATGGTAACTATAGTTTCAAACATCGAAGAATCACTCGGAGGTCCTCAGAAATTGACTTAAGAATATATGCCCAAAGTCAATGCCT